ACTAATATTTATTATCACCAGAAAATTTAATGATGATCGGCAAATTTCACTACTTGAGTCACGTATTACGAATTAATGTGTACACGTCGATCATTCACAAACTTCTTTTTATTTCCTCTCAAAACATGCCACCAAAGAAGGAATCAAACAAAAGAAGCAGAAATCAAGACAAAGAACAACACAAGTAAGTGTTTTAAGGATGGTGGTGGTGGTTATCACCCGCTACTTGTCGTCACTCTAGTTTATTGTAAGAATGGTTGCATGAAATTCTAATTTTTAAAAAAAAACAATTAGAATCAAGAATCTGATAAAAAGACAAAAAGGAAGTAACAAAGAACAAAAAGAGTAAGTATTATTAGTTATCATTTTTAAAAGAATGGTGGTGGTTGTAATTGTCATGATATATAATATTTTTTTTAACATGTTGTTGATTATTATCATTATTTTTGACACTCTTCATCTAAGAAGAGAAGGTGGCACTCATTTAGATGAATACGAGGTAATAATAGTGATAAATAATATTTAATATAATTTTTTAATTTGGAATTCTTTAACAGTAACATAATTATAATTATACAAATTAAAATATATATTAATAATGCCAATTTAAATTATATAATTAATTAGCTTAAAGAAGAAAATTTGTGCAATTTAGTTAATGAAGATGAATATCAAATTAAAAGAGATGAAAATGATTTTATTATTGATGATGGTAGGAATGCATTTGTAGATGATGAAATCAACAAGGAAACTGGCGATTCTCAATATGATATTAGGAAAGACAAAACAAAAAAAAATGATGATGATGATAAGGTAAAAACATTAAGCTTATTGAAAACACCAATACATGTGGCTGTTGCAATTGAACAAAAACTTGTCACAGTAATAACTATCCTTTCAGATCATGTTATTACTATTGTTATCTGATAAATAATTTGATTTTTGCAAATTAATTTTTAAATAGGATAAGTCAACTGAAGATGAATCAAGTTTTATATCACAATTATTTAATGATAATTACATAGAAAATCTATCTGGTTTTATGAGCAGGTTCCCATATGACATAATTATACTGATCTTCAGATATTTTGAACCAAAAGTTCTTCTATGCAAGTTGCAATTGGTTTCTAAAAAATGGAGAGAAATAATTATTAATTCAGATTGCTTATGGATAAATTTTTTATCAGAAGATGGTGTTGATCTAAACAATATACATAGAAATTTATCTATTTCACCTTCATCAAATCATTTATATAGTGATATATATCACAAATATTGTATCTTGAAAAAAAACTGGATTTGTGGTAATTACAAAGAAACCTCCATAAAAGGCAAATTCGATAATTATCCTCTGGGTCTTCAAATGGATGGAGAAAAAATAATCATAAATTCTGCTTTTAATGATATAAATATTTATGAAATTGCAACAGGAAGATTAATTAAAACACTTGGTCTTAGTAAAACAATTAATTCATTACAATTTATTGACAACACATTGGTTTCTAATTGTGTTGATGACCAAATGATTCGTGTATGGGATATATTGGAGGGTATTTGTACTCATATATTCATAGCTCATACAAAGCCAATTAGCTGCTTCCAAATAGTGACACCACAAAATATAAATCCAGATCCACAAGGACCTCCTATTATAGAACCAGATGCTACTTTACTTGTCACAGGTTCACAAGACACAACATTGAAAGTATGGCGTTTACCTAACCCTGTGATTGATCCTCCACATGTGCTTGGCATGTCAGTACCATCAGTACCATCAACACTAACACCATCAACACCATCAACACCATCAACACCATCAACACCATCAACACCATCAACACCATCAACACCATCAATGTCATCACAATCTGATAATGCTGAACCAAGTGATAATAATAATCCATTTTACCTCCATACTCTTCAAGGTCACCAAGGCTCAATTTGTGTTTTGGCAGCATCAGGGAATAATTTAGTTAGTAGCAGTCATGATTACAGCATTAGAGCCTGGAATATAGTAACTGGTGAAAATATTTGGTGTGCACAAGGACATACAGAAGAAGTTTATTCCATTGTATTAGACATTAGGAGGAAAATATGTATCAGTAGAAGTGTGGATGGAATCATAAAATCTTGGAATCTTGAAGATGGCACCAATATCTGGACATCAGGAGGATCTTTGTGCCTTGATCCTCATATTATTAAACTTTATCCCTTGAGTCTTTCCAATGATAATCTTCTTTCAATTTTTTCAATTAGTGGACTTGACATATTGGACCTTAAGAATGGATCTTCTTCTAGACATGTGTTACCAACAGATGATACTATAAGTATGGGTCCAATAAGATCCTTCCATATTGACTCATGGAAAATCTTATTGGGGTCAAATATATTACAAATGTGTGATATAGGATCACTGAAGAAGATAAATAATTTAAGTGCAGGAACATTTGGGATATGGTATTATTGTCAATTATAACTAAATAATATATGATTTATCTCTTTAATAATTAAAATCTATATTAACTATATACATGTGTGTGTTTTATGTATTATAGGGGGGTAACTTCTAACTACCGCTACTGTGTAATGATAGAACAAAGGAAAGATGATAGTTTCTGGCTGAAAATCATGGACTTTTACTGTATTTAATTTTATGTTAGATGGTATTAAGTAATTGGTTATATTATAATAATTTGTGATAGTTAAAAAATTTTTTTTCAAAAGATCTGTTGTTGTAATTGATATCTTTATATATTTTTTTTTATTCATCATATTTTTGATATTCTCATTTTGAATTTTCCATTTGTTTTTTTAAAATTTGATGACATGATAATGAGTGATTCAATTCAAGTAATTTTTATTATGGTTTAAAATTTTATTTTAATTGAACAAAAGTTATGTATATAATCAATATCACAGTAAGCATAATAACAATTTGAAATATAATCAAAATAACAAATTGCAAGTAATAAAAAATAATTATAATAATAAAAATATAATAAAAACATTAACAAAGGTACCTAAAATCATGACAATTTCAGAAAGCTCCATGCAGATTTACTGTTGTCAACCTATAAACTTCACTTCTTGTTCATCTCTGCAACTGAACTTGATGGACTTGATGGGAAAGAACTTTCAGTATATAAAGCACCCAAAGAATGTTTATGCAAAGTTTCACGCATATTTGTTTGTGTAATTTTTATGTTACATTAATGAGTATTTTAAAGTACTTTTTCAATTAATTTTGTTAGTTGCACAATATAAATGTGATCGTCACTTTATGTCACATTTAGTGTTAAAATCGAAAGTCCACTATGCTGACATGATGTAGAAATATAATAGAATATTTAATAATATAGAATAGATATTTATATTTATGTATATGTGGGTTGTGTAGATTAAATTAACTTCAAGGTAAAAAAGGATTTTTATATATTTATATGAAATTCAATATTAAAATCTATCTAAATTTTTATAAATTAGATTTGCTGTTTAAATGATGCTGTTTGTTTTTGATATAGAACAAATTTTGCTTTTTTATATTAAGTCTGTCTTAGATGCAATTGTTATGTAGATTTGTATTTATGTGGGTTATCATCATTATGTGTGAGATTAATAGTATAGAATTTATTTACGATTTCTTTTTTTTATTTCCAATTTTGTGTTTTTTTTTTCATTTGGTCAATTAATTTCATTCCAGAAGCATGAATAATTGTTGTAAATTAATTAGTAGCACAACCTTATCCATAAATAAAAAACTATTACACAATAAGGTCACAACACTTGTAACTGACCAATCAGATCCACAAAAAGTGACAGATGTTAGAGATTTAATAATATAAATATTAATAATATCCAATACATAAAATCCCAATTCAGTGCATGCATGTTATTGAAAATAAGTAGGGATAGTTCTATATATCATTTAAGATAACAAATGGGATATTATAAAACTGTTAATTATTGTGAGATAGTAAAATAAGCACTGGCTTAAAAACGAACTTTTTGCGGCAGTTACGCGAAGATTAACGATCATACTTCTATATTTGAGTATAACGGTTACACCGCAGTTCATGTCATGTTATATTGTAGACCTTTATATTGATATTTCTACTTTTATATATATTAGTTATTCATCTGATGTCAATATTTACTTGTATTTTTAATTACTTTTACCACTTGACCTAAATATTTGGATCAAATGATTAATCATAGTTATACGGGCATTAGCATATTTTATTGGATGAAATATTGTAAAAGTCACATTATTTGTAATACCCCAAGAGGTATAAAAGTGCTCGGGTTTTGACCAAGATAAACTAACTAACTAATATAATAATTAATATTATAACAATAATCACCCTTTATTAATAAATATAACATACACACCCCTACAAAAAGTATCGACTCACTTGATGATCCGTCAAAATAATCGAATAAACGGGTAATACAAATACTCGTTTTTTTACTAAGCAAATCGATGTTGTGTATTAGTAAGAAAATGTTTTTTGAAATGATTACCATAACACTCTAAAATATCACATCGGGCCAATTGTTATTGATAATTTTATGATGTTTAAAAGTCAAATTAAAATTTTTCGAAAATTTTTCGAAAAAGTAGCACTTAGAGCTATTTTAAGATACAATGTTTTAACACATCTTGGGAACTTAGAAAATGTTGTTCCATTTGTTCTCAAATGTATATATATACACGTTCATAATTATTGATCGAATATTCATGGAGCATTAATACAAAACGTAAAAAAAAATCGGAAAATAAACTTTAAAGGGCAATTGCGGCTGAAATATCTAACCAAAATTAGATTTTTTTAAAAAAAAAGATTGATTTCAATTAAAACATCATGTCTCAATCAACAGACTTTGAATAATTGGACGTTGGGAAGCAGATGAAAGCGTTTGAAACGTTGCTGGTGCACTCAAACTACTATTACTCCCCCAAAAAATACCAATGAATTAATTTCTTATTTAATAGATGAATGGGTAAATCTTGATTGTGATTATTTGCAAAAATTAGTGGACAGCATTCCTCGAAGGGTCCAAGCTGTAATTGAATCAAAAGAAAACCTGACAAAATATTGAATAAATGAATGAAATATTTATACTTTTTTGATACTTTTGATATAAATTTAATTATGTAAAAATATTATACAAACTGTATATTTCAGCTATTATAATAATAATCTGTTGTTTATTGTAACCTTCTAAACTTTCTTTAAAAAGGTCTCAATAATCACTTTTATTAAAATGATTTATTTTAAATGCTTACACATTAATATATTTTCCAAGAAATGAATAATAAGCTTAGGGGGATGTTGGAATCTACCAATTTAATAAATTAAAAACAAAATCTTAGTGGAGTTGACATAATCAATATCATAATATTATTAATGAAATGGAGTATCATTGTGAAAATCACTAACAATAACATTTACTGACAGCTATGCAACTGGCTCTCTTCGGTATTCGGAAGTTGTTTCCAGAAAATGATCCCAATCTAGAAAAATTAGAAACATATGGAATTCTTGTTTACAGTGAGTAATATGATTTATTAAATATTATGTTTGTAGTGGCTTGCTGATTTTATACATTTATTTACATAGAGAGAGATGTTTTTCTTTATGCATGCATTGGACTGGTGGAGTTTATCTTGTTGACCAGTTTGATGGGTTTGTGGTTCCTAATACACCTATACAATTAAAGAATTTGTCCCATATTATACGAAGAATGATTATATTTAAGGTAACAAATCTTATTAATGTTGTTGTTAATTGCTGTTATAGTATTGCTTGTGATAATTTGTAACTGACATACTCTTTACTTATATATTTGGCCAGAGCTGTGTTGTAAATTTACAACAGCACATAGAGTCTTCATTGAAATTAAAAAAAAATTTTTAAACATGGTGGCACTCAGCATGCAGATGATTATATTGTTGATGCATCTCCACAGAAAAAAATTCGAGTTTCTTCGATAGATATAATGTCTCAAGAGTATTGTTAAGTGAACTGTTGATTCATACTTTAAAAAAAAGGAATAAGTTGCATCCTGTTGTGATTTTTCAATAAAATTTTTTTTTAGTAGCTAATCCGAGGACAATTTTTACATATAAAGCAAGATTAAAATTTCTGAGCATATGTATTAATTAATTAATTCACATAATGTTTTTCAATTTGTAATCATGTATTTTTGGCTTGTAATCAATAAAATTTATTTAGACTGATTTATTTCGCAAATAAAAGACAAAATAAAAATATGCTAATTCACAATTTTCTACAAAAATTAATAATTTTCATATTTTCAACAACAATCAAATAAATTGTTCATTCAAACAATGAGTTTAAAATATTTAAAATTTAAAATGCTTTAAAAATAATACAAAAATTAATATTTTATAGTTTAAATAGTGTCATCATCACTGTCATTATATCTTGAACTTCAACTTCATCCTCTTGGTTCTCAAACACAAAATCTTCATTGTCTTGAAAATAGCACATTGGTGCTTTACCCTTGTTATTATTAACTTGCTTTATTGCATTTGCCAACATCTCTGGTCTTGACATGTTTTCTTGATTGTCACTACCTCCTTGTTGCTTGGCTTTCATGATCTCTTACTTGATGATGGTAAGTTTGGTGATGTTGCTAATGCGTTTATCGATGATGACTCGTGAGATTTTTTGCCAATGATCTGCTTCTCTTTCTTTTGAGTCTAGTTGTTGTTGATGATTTGCTTTGGGATAAGACCAATCAATTTCGCTACAGATGATTTGTATGATGTTCCTTTCCACGAACAGCTCACCTACTGAAAAGACTGCTGATGAGTTTGTTGCATCTGCTACTGCCGAATGCCTGCCATTTGAGACAGTATATGTACATGTGTTCATTATTTTGTTGGATGCGCTGGTGAACGAATTGTAGGTGTTCCTTTCCATTATGAAGAAGTTTTGATCTAGTTCGTCCTTTGGCTTGGCCTTTTCTTTACAAGGAGAAGAAAAAGTACAAAACAGAGGTTCGGTTTCTCGTTCAAAGTTTTTAGGTCCAAGTTTATTGCTTGAATGACAGTTACCTACACAAAAAAAAAAAATCATTTGTTACATTTTTTAAATCTTTCGTCATTTATTTATCGAAATAATAATAAATGATTACAAATAATTCAGATCCAACATTAAGAAATCTTCCAACCATCATCATAATGGAATCTTCCTTGGTCATTTCTTCAAAAGTTCTGTCGAAACGCCTTAAAATGCAACTTTATAAATTCTTCATCATCTACTCTGCTATATGCAACACCTGTATAAACATTTATGCCGCTCACAATTTATATATATATAATAGATGTTATAATAGATGTTAAAATAGATGCCATCGTTTAAAAATAGATTTATTGTTGTAGCAGTGTTAAAAACAAAGACGTTTGAAAATAAAAAAAAAATATCTTGAATTCTTTATTGAAAAATT